ATTAAAACAACTCTGAGACACCACCTCATACCTATCAGATTGGCTAACGTGACAAGAAAAGAAAATGATAAATGTTGGAGAGATGTGGGAAAATCAGGACACTAATGCATTGTTGGTAGAGATGTGAACTGATCTAATCATTCTGTAGAGCAATTTGGAACTATGTCCAAAGAGCAACCAAATTGTGCATACTCTTTGATCCAGCAATACCACTACCAGGTCTGTAACCCAAATAGATCATCAAAAAGGAAAAAGGACCTATATGTGCAAAAATATTTATAGCAGCCCTTTCTGTGATGGCAAAATATTGGAAATTTAGGGGGTTCATCAATTTGGGAATGGCTGAACAAGCTGTGGTATAGAAATGTGATGGAATACTGTCGTGTAATAAGAAGTGATGAACAGGCTGATTTCAGAAAAACCTGGAAAGACTTGTACGAACAGATGCAAAGTGAAATGAGCAGAACCAGGAAACCAATGCATACAGTATCAGCAACACTGTTAGATCATCAACTATGAATGACTCAGCTCTTCTCAACAATGTAATAATCCAAGACAAGTATAAAGGACTCACAAAAGGAAAATGCTATCCACATCCAGATGAAGAACTGATGGACTTTCAATGCAGATTGAAACATACTTTTTTCACTTATTTTATTCTTTTTTGTGGGGTTTTTTCTCCTTTTGATCTGTTTCTTCTTTCATAATTGTGACTAATACGGAAATCTTTTTCCATGATAGCACACGTATAACCTATATCAAATTGCCTACTATTTTAGGAAGAGAGGAAGGGGGGGAGGGAGACAGAAAAAGTTAAAACTCAAAATCTTGTAAAAATGAATGCTAAAAATTGTCTTCACATGTAGTTGAGAAAAAAAAATACTACTGAAAAAATGAAATGCTCAACAATGTCCCAAATACGAAAAAAAAGGAAAGAAAAACAATTAAGCAGAAATATCCACTACAGTGATTATTTCTTTAAACGTATACAACAATCTGCCCTAGCAGACTCCCACCTCTCTGACATTAAGAGAAGGTGTGTTTCCTTCCCACACTTTTTTTGTTGTTGTTTTGGAGGCAATGGGGTTGAGTGACTTGCCCAGGGTCACACAGCTAGTGTTTGAGGCCAAATTTGAACTCAGGTCCTCCTAACTCCAACACTGGTACTCTATTCACTACGCCAACTAGCCGCTCCATTTCTCATACTTTTAAAAGTAAAACTATCTAATACCAAATACTAAAATTAAAACTTAGCCACATAAGTCAGTACAAACCATTTTTACGCCTAAAAGAGATGAGGAGAAAGCCAAAACAAATTTAACAAGCTCTATTTCTCCTTTACGTGAATTTTTTATCAGACTTCTATAGAAATTTGTGGGCAAATTCTGATTACACTGGCAAAAAATTCTGATTATACTGCACTTCCGTTTTCTTGGCCTAGAAATACAACAATTTGCATGAAAATGTTGGAATAAAGAAATTTGCTCAAGAACAATTTCTGTCAGACCATGTTTATATTACAACTAATTTTATTATTTTTATTTATTAGCTACCAGTCTCTAAAATGCCAAATCATTCTACACACAACTGAAATCTTCTAGTAGTGGGGAAAGGATCTGGCACATCTATTCCACCATCTGCAAGCAGGCAAACTACATTCCGTTAAACTAAAGCTGGGGGCGAGGGGGTGGCTCAGGGGATAGAGCACTGGGCTTGCAATCAGGAAGACTCATCTTCAAGAGTTCAAATTTAGCCTCAGACACTCAAGTAACTGTGTGACCCTGGGCAAGTCACTTAACCGTGTTTGCCTCAGTTTCCTCATCTGTAAAAAATAAGCTGGAAAAAGAAATAGCAAACCACTCCAGTATCTTTGCCAAGAAAACCCCAAATAAGGTCAAAAAGAGTCAGATGTGACTGAAAAATGACTGAACAACAAAACAAAGGGAAGTAACTAACAACCACTAAAAACCTGTATGGCTTCACAAAAATAGATTGTGTTAGACCAACCTCATTTCCATTTCTGACAGGGTAAAGAGAATGATAGATTAGGGAAATTCTGCAGAAATGCAATATACCTAGAACTGAGCAAAGGATCTGACAAAAAGTCTTTCACATAATCCTTTTGGAAAAGATGAAGAGATATGGGCTAGATACAATTAAGTGGATTTGGAATAAGATTAATGACCAGAACTAATCATTAAGGTGCCAGTCTCAACACAGAGAGAGATACAAGTACAACCACTCAGGGAACTTTATCAATGGCCCATTTTATCAGTAAATTCAATGAAATCTGCTTTTCAAATTTAAAGATTAAAAACAAATTGAGGGTTTGCTAGCATGTTAGATGACAAGTAAGGAATTCAAAAAATTGATAGGTTGGAATGACAAACTGAATCTTTAACAAGATGAAATTTAAGTGAGATAAGTGTTAAGTTCAACAATGGTTTAAAAAAAATAAACTTTTCATATGTAAAATGACAGAACTAGACAGTCTGTGAGAAAATAACCCCAGGGGTCTCTGTGGATTACAAACCTGATTAATCAGTAGTGTGATTAAAAAACTAAGAAAGCTTATAGTCCCACTGTGCTCCATCCTGACCATAACACAACTATTAAAGACAACACACTGCCTTCTGAAACATGACATTTTTGGATAGTTCTAAATTGTTAGGAAGTATTTCCTTATGTCAAGCGTAAAGCTCCCATTCTACAACTTTACATACTGATTTTGTTTCTGTCCTTGAGAGGTAACCAAAACAATTCAAATCCCTCTTCTATATCACAACCCTTCAAATCCTTAAAGACAATTATCTCTCTAAGTATTTTTTCAGAAACTGAGGTATTCAAATTAATTCAATAAACATATTTAAAGTACCTATGTTCTTTGTGCTAGGCAAAAAAATCAGAGTATCTATCCTTGAAAGGCTTACATTCTACTGGGGGAATACAGCATCAAAATAGATAAATAAATAAAAGATAATGTGAAGAAGAAAAAAACTAAAAACTACAAGTATTGAGAAATGCTTCACAGAAGAAAGGTCTGATCCTTATTAAAGGGGGGCATTCCTAACAAAGAAGATGGCCTGTAGAAAGACACACTATGTGAGAAAAAAATTCCAAGTACGAACAACAGCAAATAAGCCAGTTGGTTAGAATGCAGGTTGAGTAAGCTTGTAAAGGTAGGCTGGACCCAGATCATGAAAGGGCTTTAAATACCAAAGTGAATAGCTTTTGTCCTTTCTACTAGAAGCAGTAAAAGCAATCACGGGAGATTCTTGAGCAGTAGTGTGACATGGTTCTACCGTGCTTTAGGAAGATTATCATGGCAGCTCTGTGGAAAATAAACAGAATGTTGTTTCTACTCAATTCTGTCATCCTGGGTTTCTCCTCTTTCACAGCTAAACTTCTTGACAAAGCAGTCTATGACCAACGTCTCCACTTGTTCTCTTCTCACTCTCTGCTTAATCCCTTACAATAATGACCTCATCATTCCACCAAAATTGCAACCTCCGAAGTTATCAATAAACTTTTTTTTGTTTGCCTTTTGGTGAGGCAATTGGGGTTAAGTGACTTGCCCAGGGTCACACAGCTAGTAAGTGTTATGTGTCTGAGGCTAGATTTGAACTCAGGTCCTCCTGACTCCAAGGCCAGAGTTCATCCACTGTGCTACCTAGCTGCCCCATCAATCAACTCTTAACTGCCAAATTCAATGGCCTTCTCTCAATCTTGATGGCCTTGATGGTGTTAAAGGCTATATAGAGGTCAGTCAGTCAGTCAATAAACATTTATTAAGCACCTAATATGTGTCTGGCACTATGCTAAACTCTGGGGATATAAAGGCAAAAGATAGTCCCTGAGTTCCAAAGGAACTCAGTCTAACGGAGGAGATAATATACAAATAAATAAATGCATAAAAAAGTTAAAATACAGGATAAACAGGATACAATGAACAGAGAAGGCACTACAATTAGGAGGGATAAGGAAAGGCTTCCTGTAAAAGGTGGGATTTTAGCTGGGACTTGAAGGAAACTAGGGAAGCCAAAAGATGGAGAAGAAAGTGAAGAGTATTAGGCATAGGGGACAGAGTGAAAATGCTTGGAATAAGGATTTGGGGTTTCTTGTTCGAGGAACAGCAAGGAGGCCAGTATCACTGGATTGAAAGAATGAGGTGTATGAAAACTGGAAAGGTAGGAGGAGGCTAGGTTATGAAGAGATTTGAATGCCAAACAGAGGACTTTATGTCTGATCCTTGAGGCAAGACAGCTACTGAAGCTGACTGAATAGAGAGGTAACAAGTCAGACCTGCAATTTAAGAAGATCAATTTGAGGGGCAGGTAGGTGGCACAGTGGATAGAGCACTAGCCCTGAAGTCAGGAGTACCCAAGTTCAAATCTGGCCTCAGACCTAACACTTGACACTAGCTGTGTGACTCTGGGCAAGTCACTTAACCCCAACTGCCTTAAAAAATAAAAAAAAGATCAATTTGATAGCTGAGTGGAGGATAAACTAGAATGGGAAAGAGACTTTTGGGAATCTCTTGAAGTGAGACCAAACAGCAGAATATGCAATAGTCCTAGCATAAGTGATGAGGGCAGTGTCAAAAGAGAAAAGGAGATATGAGAGATGTTAGCAAGGTAAACTCAACAGGTATTGCCAAAAGACTGGATATGGGAGCTGAGAAAGTGAGAAGTTGAGGACACCTAGGTTTTGAGCCTGGGTGACTGAGAGGATGGTGATACCTTTCACTGTAACAGGGAAGTAAGGAAGAAAGGATAATCTGGGGGAAAGCCAAGTTTAAAATGTCTACAAGATATCCAGTTCACAATTTCTAATAGTTACTTGGAGATTCTAGACTGGAGGTCAGGAAAAAGGTTAGAGCTGAATAAGTAGATCTAAGAGTCATCAGCATAGAGATAACAACAGAATCCATGGAAGCTTATGAGATCACAAAGTGAAATAGTATAGAGAGAGAAGAGGGCTCAGAACAAAACCCTGTGGGATATCCACAGTTAGTGCAAATTACCACAAGAGGGGAACCAGGGGAGACAAATATCATGAAAAGCAAAAAAGAAGAGAATATCAAGGAGTAGAGGGTGATTAACAGTGTCAAAGGCTAAAGAGAGGTCAAGAAGGATGAGGATTTACAAGAGGTCATTGAATTTGAAGATTAAGAGTAATATTGGAGAGAACAGTTTGGGTTTAATGATAAGGTAAGAAGCTAGACTGTAGAGAGTAAGAGGAGAAAAAAATGGAGGCTCAGACAGCCTTCTTAAGGAGTCAGATGCAGTAGGATAGTAGCCATATGAGAATGAGTAGAAAGAATGAATGTCAGGATAAGTTATCAATAGGACTTGGCAATGACCAGAGGTGAGAGAAAGGACAGACTCAAAACTATCAAAGTTGTGAATTTGGGCAAGTGGAAGAAGAGCAATACTCTCAAGAGAAAAAATTTTGAAGGGATGGGTTGGAGGGAAAGATGATGAGTTGTTTTAAACCTGTTTAGACTATGTAAGCAGTTGGTAATATGTGATAAACTCAGAACAAATTAGATCTGGATATGTAGATGTGGAAATATAGATTGAACCTTTGAAAGATGATGCAATGACCAAGAGAATATATAAAGAAAGAAAGCTAAGATCTGAACTTTGGGGGAAAACCACTGTTAAGAGGGAGAAGATGAACGACGCTGCAGCAAAGAAGACTGAAAAGGAACCAGTAGATGAACCAATAATATTAACTAATTTTCTTATGGCAGGACCAGCAGTACTCCTTTGGATGGCATCCAGCTCGTCAATTATTTTCTTAAATGTGACATCCAGAACTGAATACGACTACACGCACGTATACATATGTACACACCTACATGACATGTGTGTGTGTGTGTGTGTGTGTGTGTGTGTGTGTGTCTGTGTCTGTGTCTGTGTCTGTGTCTGTGTATTGGTAACAAACAAAACTCTCACCAATACCCCAACTGGATGGTTTATATCAGAGGTGGGGAACCTGTGGCCTCAAGGTCACATATAGCCCTCTGGGTCCTCAAGTGAGGCCCTTTGACTAAATCCAACTTCACAGAACAAATCCCCTCTGTGAAATTTGGATTCAGTCAAAGGGCTGCACTTGAAGACCTAGAGGGCCACACTGGCCTCAAGGCCACAGATGCTGACCTCTGGACTCTATACTCTACTGTGAGGACATTATTTGCTTCTATTTCTGCCCCTTTTACACTCACTCTAATGCCTTCTATCAAGCTTCACCTACCTGGAGTCCTTCAACATTCTCATTTAAGTATGTTTTCTTATGTATAAGTATATATTTCTTTGCTATACAAAGAACTGGAAACAAAGTGGATGCTCATCAATTGGGAAATGGCTGAATAAAGTGGTACAAGAATATAATATTATTATCATGAAATAAGAAATAAATAGGAGAACTTTAAAGAAATGGGAAGATTAGTATGAACTGTCACAGACAGAAATAAACAGAACCAGAGTAATATAAGCAATTACTAAAACAACATATATTAAAAGATCACTAAAAGAAAACCAAATAGTGAGCAAATGAAAAGAAAATAGTAATACTCCTAGATAATGAAACATTATTCTCTTTTCTCAAAAGAGAGGCATGAAGCCCACAAAGACAAAACGTGGTAAACATCAGACACAGTGTACCAAGTATTTTTTAATTCTTTTTCTTTGTTATAAAAGAGGGTTCATTTTGAGATGGGAGGGTTTTATTTCCAATTACTGTATGTAAAAACAAAAAAGTATCACTAAAACTTAGGTAACACATACATATGCATTCCCCATCCCCTTTAATCAATCCTTTTCCTTTTGAATGAAGTATAACCTTGAAGAGCCACAGTCTTGTTATGGATCCCACACCACCAAGTCACAGTAATAAGTATAAGGTCAAATTACCATCCCAATTAATCAATATGTGTTTATTTAGGGATCACTATGTACTAGGTACTCCCTGCATTAGGATTACTAGTTCATCTCATTTATTACCTAAATTTTGTGTGTGTGTGTGTGTGTGTGTGTGTTGTGTGTGTGTGTGTGTGTGTATAAAGCCACTGGTTTTACGGCTGGCTCTTTTCTTGGATTTTGACTTTAGCGAATATCTAAGTGCTTCTACTATTTTTCCTAGAATGATGCTGCTATTCTCTGTATTATCTTCCATGACAGAAATATAACTAAGTAGTCTTCTTCTTTTTCCCTATTTTCTCTTATGTATTCTTGCTGTGCTTTACATAGAAAGATAAAAACTAAAAGATAAAAGTTACATGGATATGGAACTGTTTGACTGACTAGCTTCAAAGAGTGTTGGTTAATGGACTGAAGACAAAGACTTAAGTGCCAGGTCCAATATTGATTAATCTTGTAACTACAGAGACAATACTGGTATTACCTATTTCATAGGACTATTGTAAAGAAAGCAAAGTACTATATAATCATAGGGCGTATTAATGACGTCAACTTGGAGATCTCTCATGGAGCATCCTAAAGGGTCTTAGTCCTTGGCCCTTTTCTGTCTTTATTAGGCCTTTATTAATCTGCTTAATCTTCATATTCCTTTTTATATGCTTATGAAACCATGAGTTGTATAACTTATTTAACTATTAACAGTAATCTTATTCCTCTTTTTTGCTTTATTATTATTTCTGAGCAGTGCCCATTTCCTGAAATTGGAGCATGCTTTTCCCTTAAAAAAAAAATTTGTGAAAGGAGATGTAAGATGTGACCTTCAGGATAAGAAAACTACTCTGTTAAAAAAATGTGATTATATAAAAGGTAAGAAAAAGATACCATAAAAATGTTTTTGTCCTCAAGCTCATTTAAGTGCATTACAATATTTTAAAATGTTTAGAAGTATTAAATTTCTTTGAGGTACAAAGTACTGCATATGGTCTCCCCAGCCATCAAAGCCTTCAAAGGAGCAATTGTGATACAACCTCTAGTGTTGTATCTCCTCTTATCCCCCCTACAAACCTTCCTAAGTCACGCGATAGTAAGAATTTTAACCTTACTTAGAACTTGAGCTTGAATTTATGAGCTGAAATGTCTGACTGCTGATTGCATAACAACTTTCGCTATGATTATTATTGTATACCTTAGAAGTTCTACCTAAATGTGAACTATTATCATTATGAAGATGGAAAAGAAAACACATTTTCTCTTCCTGAGGTGGGTAGACGTTAGGAGAGTCCTAAGACAAATGTTACTTCCTCAGAATTCTTGGCCTTTAGAGAAAGGAAGAACCATGACAAAGCACAAAAAAGTGTTGGAAAAAAAAAGACTTATTTCAAGTATCTAATTATTAGTTTGTTTATTTAACAATCCCCTGGGACAATCTGTAATCTGCACTGATAAGAAATGTGCATTGTAGAAAACAGGCCTAACTTTTTGTTGTTTTTCAATTATTAGTGCTACACTCAATGTTTGAGCTCAAACAAGCATCCCTTGGGGAAATGCTCTGCGTGCCATTAGCACTATTCTTAATGAGGAAAAGCACAGAAGTCCTTTAGTTCAATGCCAGAATTGTTTTATCTTCAAGTCAAAAGAACAACTATTTGGAGTAACACCAAAACAAGCACTCAACAATTACAAGCAGCAAACTATTCATAAGCATCATACAGTCAGTATTGTTCTAATTATAGATTTAACACTATAGCCTGTAAAAAATCTGTCAGCAAAAATATTAACAAAAAGTTTTAATTGGCCTATCACAAACTCTCTCATTCATATTATGAGTAAAAGAAAAGTACTAAAAACTTTTTAAAATTCAACCTCTAGGGGACAGCAGGAGACCCTCGATTCCATTCATCTAAGAAAAGGATAAAAAAAATCAAGAAAAACGCTAAAAGTAGATTTTAATTCTAAGTGGGATTGAAAAGTACCTAAAATTTTTAAAAATAAAAATAAAAAGATGGTAAGTATCAATTTTGCTAATATCTTATTCTTAAACATTCCAATGGGATGATGCTTCCTTCCCAGTTCAAAAATAACATGCCTTCACACCATGAAATGTCCTTTCCTCTCTTTTCCTCTCTTTGATCTATTAGCTCACACGCTCATTTTTAGTTTCCTTTTTGTTTTTTGGGGGTTTTTTTGGTAAGGCAATTGGGGTTAAGTGACTTGCCCAGAGTCACACAGCTAGTGAGTGTTATGTGTCTGTGGCTGCATTTGAACTCAGGTCCTCCTGACTCCAGGGCCGATGCTCTATCCACTGCACCACCTAGCTGCCCCTCTAGTTTCCTTTAATTTTATTATATATGTTCTTGTTCCTATGCATCAAGAATTTGTAACTCGTTCCAGAACTAATGTCTATTTAGACTTACCTGGAGTAATAGCTCGGTGATATTGATACATATCTTCTCCCCACAGCTCTTGGGCTACTTGCTTAATCTTCTGTCTGACAGCTTCCAGTTTACTTTCTGATTCATTCATTATTTCTTCCACATCAGGAGCACTGTAATCATGAAAGTGGAGCTTTTAGATTATTAGAAGGCTGAACCAGTTTTTATTACATGTCCCATATCCTAGTATATATTAGTATGTCTAATAATAGCAATTTACATTTATGTAGCTATTTACAAAGCTATGAATATTAAATTTACAGTTAGAAAGTATTTTCCTCATAACCCAGTGAGGCAGTTACTTTAGGTATGATAGCTGCTATTTTATGGATGGTAAACTGTGATCCAGGTGAGAGAGGGTAACTTTGACCACAGTCAAACAGTTAGCAAGTGTCAGAGCCAAGGCACATCCCCAGGTCTTATAACCCCAGGTACAAAGTTCAGTATTATAAAATTATTTGTTTAAAGGAGATATATTTGAAATAATGAAAGAGAGTTGGCTCTGAAGGAAAAACCAGCTGTCCTGACCGACCCTTCCTTTTGTCACTTTTTGTTGTTGCAAGGCCTGCTATTAGAGGCAATGTTTTTGGAAATTACACCATGAGACACAATGAATAAGGATACCACACAGGGGATTTGGGGTAATATTTTTCACCTGGCAGCTGAGAAGAAAATAATTAAATCAAATCCATCTATTCATGAATAATTACACTAATTTCTGTCTCTCAATTCAAGTCAAGAATGAGAAAAGAACATATGAAAAAAGTCGAAGTATTTTCCTTGCTTATTCTAGAAGCACCTATACTAGAATCAAAACAATATGGAAAAGATTAGCACAGTCGTTGAACAAGGATGACATATTCCATATTTTCCATATTTTAAGTACCTCCTTAACACATGAGGTAAACAGGCAGAAACTTCTATTCCTTTTATAGACTAGGAAAACCAGGCACAGGAACATGAACTTAATCATTCAGCAAATATGGTCAATATCAAACCCTGAATAGAGTTAAGTCTGTAAAATCATCACAATACACAAAACTAGAGAGCAAATTTTCCAGAGACAAACTTATCCCTCAATATAAGCAACAATATATTTTAGAATAAAGAAGAAATCAATAAAATACCCTTTAAATATATCTAAAGGACAAAAGTTGTAAATTTTTTATTTCTTTATAAATGTTAATTAGGAAATTAAATTAATGTGAAAAAAATCTGTGAAAGAATCCTAAGTTTGAGATTACAAAAATATTCAGTGTGATACAATGCAAACACTTAGAGTCAGGCAACTTGGGTTTTAAGCCCAGTTTCAACATTTACTAGCTATTTTTGGTCACCTGTAAAATGTGTTGATTGATACCTGCTAATTCCTTCAAAGACGTTAGGAAAGTCCTTTGTAAATCTCAAAGTTTGTTATTTTGGGTGTTTAAAAGATAAACACCCCAGTGAACCTATATAATAAGCCCTAAACAGTTCATTATAACTACATTATCCTTCTTCATAAGATCGTTCTATGAAAGAGCTTACTAGAGCACAATAAAAAATTCAGTTCATCTTTATAATAAATATTTTTCCTTGTGAGATGTAGAAAGATTCCTTACAAAAATTTGTTTCATGAAGATTTCTTAAAGTCTTCATCATGTATCATAAGCTAGCTCTAATTCATCAATATATAAAACACTAAAGAAAATTTTTAAAATTCATGTCAGCAGAGAAATCAAAGATTGACTCACCTAGTAATCCTATGGAGAAGAAAAATTGTCCTTTTACTTTCAACAGTTATATCACGACTGAGTTTCACAAGTCTCTCATACTTGTCATGTCTAGTATCAAGTTCCTGTTGAAACACTGATAATACATATTATTATGGGCCACAAGGAGGCATATTCTGAACATATCATCTACTAAATTATAAAAACGTTTTAGAAATACAAATTAGTAGATAGTGCCTTTAAGGGCAACTACAGTTACTAGTCTTACTAATGAGACCACCAGAAAATCGTAATTAAATTGTAAACATTTAAACACTCAATACTATAAGAATTTGGCAAATTCTTGATACTAGTAATATCAAACCTTTGGGCAATAGCAGTAGCAAGAGGCAAAATAATAGGAACTAATACATATTTGAAGTGTTTTGATATACTTTATTTCATTTGATCCTCTAACAACCCTATAAGATAAATGATTTAAAGTATTATCTTCATTTGAGAAGGAAAACAATGAATTTCAGAGAGTCTTTGGAAAGCCAAGCCTTCTGAAGACAAATCTAGTGCTCCTTCCATTTAACTTTGCACAAAAGCTGCAATATTGTTGAGGGGTGACACTAGTGAGCACACCGTTAACAAATAATTAATATATACTGATTACCTATTGAGTAGAGAATATCATCTGGCTGTAGGAACATCTAAAGCCAGCAATACCAAAACTTTGACCTGAGACTAAAGAGACCCAATAGGTCACAATAAGAAGTCATAAGAATGATTCGATTTCTTGGACATTTAAGTTCAAGGTTACCTTGAGCTGAAAAATCAAGGTTTGCAATGTCTTGTAAACCTACTGATTTGTTGCACAAAGCTGTACAAATGACTGAACCTATCTTTTTTTCCCCACATGAAAAGATGACAGTAATAGGTTCACAAAACAGCATTTTACTTTTTTATAAAATGTTTTATGTATAATACCACATTTAATCCTCAAAATGCTATAAGCAGGGCAGGTAAAACATCATTTTAGAGATGAGGAAATTGAGGATCAGAGAATTTAAATCACTACTTCACCTGGATCTCATCAGTACTCATGAATTTAATTACCATCTCTATAAAAATAATTTTCAAATTCACACTATCCTATCCCAACCTCTCTACTGATCTCCAATCTCACATCTTCAACTGCCTTTCAGATATCTGGAAACTGGATATTCAGTAGGCACCTTAAATTCAATATGTCCAAAGCAGAACTCATTATCTTTCCTCCTAAAGTCATCCTCTCTTTGCAACCTTTCCTATTACTGTAGAGGGTAACACCATTTTCTCACCTCCTCAGGCTTAAAATTCAGGTGCCATCCTCAATTCCTTAATGTGTCTCTCACCCCACCATATCCAATTTGCTGCCAAGGCCTACTGATTTCACTTTTGCAACACCTCTTTCATAAGCTCCTTCCTCTTCTCTGACACTGCCATAACTCTAGTGCAGGATCTCATCACCTCACAACTCGACTACTACAATAGCCTGCTGGTGGGTCTGCCTGCCTCAAGTCTCTCCAATCCATCCTTCAATCAGCCACCAAGGTCATTTTCCTAAAGCACAGGTCTGACTGCATTATCCACCCCAAGCCCCTACTCCCACTCAATAAACTCCCTATCACCTCCAAGATCAAATACAAAATCTTTTGTGTGGCAATCAAAGACTTTCAAAACCTAGCCCCCTCCTATCTTTCTAGGATTCCTACATCCTGCATAGAGCAGAATTAGACTGAGCCAAAGATGTAGAGCTGGAAGAGACCTAAAAAGACCTCCATTTCACAGAGAAAACTGAGACCAAAAGAGGTTGAATGAGTTGCCCATGGACATACAGCATTAAGTAGCACAACTTAGAATGAATGAAGGGTTAAATATACACTTTTACTACAGGATTCCACCTTCTATTCACAATAAAAGGCATTAAAAATGTATTTTAGATGAAAACTTTTACATCAATCATACAGAAAGTGTCACCCATCTGAATCTAATGTCATGCAACAAAATCAGAGCCTCCAGAAATTAGAAGGAAGACTTCAATAAGTATTCTTTCTCGAAGCATGAAGATAAGGCAATCTAGAATATACCATACTCCTTCAAAAGAGATGTTGGACGAGACCCACTACTGCTCTCCCAGTGCTATAAGTGTTGTGGATGCCACAACCTAAATTTTAATGACGACCCTGGGTTATATGTCTATTTTGCAGAACTAACCAACACCCAGGAATATTCCTGGCACCTGACTTTTTCTCTTTGCCTTATGAGAGAGAAGGTTTGGGGGACAGGGAGGGAGAAGAGAATGAAGATTAAACACATCTACCGAGAAACTGGGATTGCTGCCAATAAATCTGTTAGGAATCTGCCAGGATGAGTGATGAACTTCGAACTGAAACACTCTCCAAGGATTATGAAAAGTACATCTAGGCCAGAGAAAGTTAGAGGACCTACGCCCTGAACCTGAGAAGGAAGCAAATTCACCTGGGAATGACACTACGCAGTGTTTGAGCTTGCCTATTAACACTGTTTTGAACAAGTTCCTTAAAAACTGTTTCTTGAAGTAGCTATGTAACATCTCAACAATGATAATGCTACATGCTATCTTACAGAGCAGTGGTATCAAACTTAAATGGAAATGGGGGCCACTAATCCATACATAAGCAGCAGCTAGGTGCTCTATCCACTGGGACTGGAGACAGGAAGACCTGTGCTCAAATCCAGCCTCAGATACTTGCTAGCTACACGACCCTGGACCAATCACTTAACTTCTGTCTGCCTTAATCCACTGGAGAAGG